TAACAGAATATCGGCAAAGCACAAGTCAGTGCTGTTAGCCAGTACCTATGTTGGCAGTATGCAGGTGTGAATTCCATGTTCAGGTAATATGCCACTTCTGGTTTACGGATGTTGACAGCGCGTGTTTGCATCACTGAATTGCATATCTTTCAGATTAGATGTCTCTATTTGAAAGGCTTCGAAACTATGCCCAGGAGGTCTTATTCCTGATTAAAGAACTATCAGCTAAATCCATTTGACCTTGTGAAAGTTTAGTTGGCGGAATCCCACTTATCCCACCTAGGTGTCAGTCTTTCGCTGTGCAAAAACGCATATGAGTGTCGCCTTATCGGAGAGGTCTGTGGCATCGATGCGGAATCGGTATGTTTTGACAAACTACAGATAGCGCTGTGCCTCCGTATTTCTTGCATGAGGTGCCCTAAACCTATGTAGGCACTTATGGGTACAGGCAGAGTCAATGGCAATTACGGTGGGGCCTGTTGTTTTGTTAGCCACGTATGCACATTAGCTGGCCTATCTCATGAAACCTTAACCAACCTTCTGAAATTTGCTTTCAGTTAGAAAGGAGTAATTAGGCGGAGGTGTAATACTGATTATCGCGCAGCATAATCCCATGATATTTCTATCACGCCGGGACTGCAAATACTTCACTCGGCCAAAAATGGCTATTTAATTGATATGTATTTGTCCTATTGAATTTCGATGCCCTTAGTAATTCAATAAATATTCGTAGAAAACATCTACAAGACATTTTTTTCATACATTCACTTGGCAGGAAATTACGTCTTCTTTTACCTTTATACTCGTAAAGGGGTATCTTCTACTTTTAAAGAAGTTTGTAATTTTGTACTTTTTCCAACCGTTAAAGCGTCCGTCCATAGAGCATCGTATCTGACACTTTATTAATGTTGCCTATTAAGTATGCATGGTCCACGTCCATCGCAAAATTATTTGAGCCCTATATGAGATCTTCTGTATAGCGCGGAGAAATGTATGATGTTTATTACGCGAAGAGTACAGCATGCAGTTTGGAAACCCTTAATGTAAGTGCAAGTGTGGGTCGGGATCAAGATTATTCGGGAATTTTAGAAGTTTTTTTAAAGCCTAGACATATCTTCTGTCAGCGCACAGAATTTGAAGAAGAGGTAAAGTCCTTCTAAATGAGTACAGTCAGTCAGTCAGTGTATTTGAGGAAAATAGGTTTACGCCTTTGAACTCACTATTTGTACATAAATCGATAAACAAGCAAAAATGTGAAGAAATTACAGCATTAAGTGAATGCATACATTGATTCACATATGTCACTGGTCACATGGCTAAAAAGTCACATAGTCCGCTTGTTGCTGCAGCATATATCTGTCAAGGCTACATTTAAATGTCTCCACAGATTTAGACATAACAACCGTCTCGGGCAGGTTATTCCACGGTTCCACGACACGGTTGGAGAAGAAATATTTTCTCACATTCAGTCTACCCTGTGGCACACGTAGCTTGAAGGGATGTCCCCCGAGGTGAGTTGTAGTGGCGAGTTGGAAAAAGTCATCGCGTCGAAGGGCACAATCCAAGCCGCGAACGATACGGAAAGTTTGTATCATGTCTCCGCGCAACTGCCTATAACTCAGAGGATAGAGATTAAGGTTAGTTAAGCGGATCTCGTATGGCAGTGCACTTTGAACTCTTACTAATTTTGTGGCTCGCCTCTGCACCCTTTCGAGCAGATCGTAATCCTGATGCGTCGACGGTCTCCAGGCCTGAATTGCATATTCGAGATGAGGCCTTATAAACGTGCCGAAGACTTTGGTGAAGCAGTCTTTATCGAAAACTACGAATGCCCGCTTGATGGCATATAGCATTGAAGTTGCGGCCTTGGCCGCCTTACAACACTGCGTAGAAGGCTTAAGGCTGTCTGCAACCCAGACTCCGAGATCTTTCTGCGTTTCTGCTTCTCGGAGTGGCATTCCGTTCAGATGGTATTGCCGCGTACTAGGGGTCTGAGTTCCGAGGCGCAGAATGGTGCATTTGTTCAAATTGAAGGACAAGAGCCATCTGCGGGACCACTCCTCCAATCAACAAAGATTTTCTTGGAAGTTGGTCTCATCGGCAGCATTCTGGATGACTTTCCAGATTTTTATGTCGTCCGCAAACATGGCACAATCACAGTCCAACCCATCTACACAATCATTGATGAACAAGAGAAAGAGGGTTGGTCCGAGCACCGAGCCTTGTGGGACCCCACTCTCTATGAATGTGCACCTTGATTGCTGTTGTTCTACGCAGACAATTTGGGAGCGGCCGACAAGGAAATTTTCGATCCATTTGAGAAGTTTGCCACCGATGCCCATAATTCTCAACTTGCGTAGGAGACTCTGGTGCGGAACACTGTCAAACGCCTTCCGGAAATCAATATAGGCAACATGCACGGTGTGTTTTGCGTCCAGTGCTCGTGTCCAACTTTGCATTGTGTATAGCAAGTTCGTAACACATGATCTTCCCCTACGGAAACCATATTGTGCATTGGACAAGAGGTTGTGGGTTTCCAAATAAGCCATCAACTCCTTTTTGATGGTTTTCTCCATCACTTTGCAGCAGATTGATGTCAGACTGACGGGTCTGTAGTTTGTCGCCAGAGCACGACTACCGCTTTTGTAAAGGGGTGTAATGTGGGCCGTCTTCCAGTCTGTGGGAAGAATTCCAGCATCAAACGATTTCTGGCAGAGAAAGGATAGTGGCTTGGCCAGCTGTTGGGCAAGCTCAAAGAGCAGCTTTGCTGGGATCTCGTCCGGACCGGGAGATTTACATTCCTTCAAGCTTTTCAGTTCTTCCAAAATCGCTTCTTCTCGAAACACAATATTTTCGATAGTGGGATCTCTCATGTTCTCAGAATTAGATGGGGTAAAGTCTGCTTCTCTTGTGAAAACGGATCGAAAAAATTGAGAAAAGTGCTCAGCCTTATTTGTACTGTCCGAGATCTCCAAGCCGTCATCATCCCTCATAACAGGAATGGGATTCCTGTTACGTGTGCTTTTCCGCAAATAGCTGTAGAGCAATTTCGGATTTTTAACGGCTTGGTGGAGCAAATTACTCTCAAAATCCCGTCGCCTCCTGAAAATCAGACTTTTCACCTTATTTCTTTGTACTTTATATTCTGTAAATGCTGCAAGGTTGGTGTTTTCCCGAAATTTCTTCCACAACCTTCCTTTCTTATAGATCTCCTTTTTAGTTCTCGTGTTCGCCACTGAGGGCGGTTGGATGTCATAGGCTTTGATACGGGACAGTGGCTCTTCATTAGATGCAATAACCAACCCTTAAATAAATTCCAGTCCTCGTTAATGTTTCCGGAGAAGAGAACATCCCAGTCTATTTGTGATGCCTCAGCTCTCATTTGACGAAAGTCCCCTTTCCATATATTTGGCCTCGTATTGTCATTTGTACACGGTTCAGAATACAGCAAGTACTCCCATAAAAGCACTACATGATCACTTCGACCGAGCGGGGGTAGGTAGTACACCTCGTCTATACTGTCAGGATATTTGGTAAAAACGAGGTCCAGACAACTGGCCTGTTGCCTTCAACGAGCTCTAGTTGGAAACAGGACACGTTGCGTGAGTAGAGCTTCTAGGGTTGTCTTTAGTAGATGGTAATCGAAGGTATTCATCGAGCACTTCGCATGGATATCGCTCCATTGAATGCAGGGTGCGTTAAAATCCCCCATGAGAACAACGTCTGGTCTGCTGGCGATCTCTTTTATGCTTTCAAGTAGACAAGTATCTGGGGCGGGCTCCGCCTGCGGTGGCCGGTAGATAGTTACGATTTCGAGGGACTGAGATCCCCGCGCCTTTATAGTCAGCCAAATTGCCTCTGTGTCGTTAGAAATCTTGTCGGTCCTCTCACACACTGCTAAGTTGCTCTTGACATACATGGCAACTCCTCCACCCCGGCGGCCTCTCCTGTCTCTCCTAAACAAATGGTATCCTGTTAATGCTACAGAATGGACATTTCTATGCTTGTTCAGTATAACATATTTTTAAATTTATAAAAGCATCGAAAACAAATGGAAAAGCCTATGATGCCGAAGTAGCCATTTTATACAGAGTACCATTTTCGTATGCAGACTGAAGGAAGTTCATTTGAAGACCGACATCCTGGCGTGACTGAAATACCTTGGAATAACGTTTCTGGATAATCAGTTTCAGAAGCCCACCTAAGTAATTCTTTTTAGTCGAACTCATATTTCGGAATTCCGGCTAACAGTTCATGAGATTGGCTGACTACTGTAAACTAGACTCTTAAGCATGTTATTTAGTAAACGCCTGGCTCTTTTGTAGGACAAGACTTCAAAGGTTGCAGATTTCATCAATAACGGCTGCGTTGGATCTACATTGTCGCGAGTATCCACATCTGCAGAGGTTGAGCTTTGTTCAAAAATTAGGACCACACTGTCTCGATGCATGCGTTAACCGGGCTGCGTTGGGCCTAGGTGAAGCCCTAGATACGCGTGTGGTGCAGGT